TGATACCATAGTCATATAAAAACACTATAAAAAAATATAGGCTAATATTCCTGATGAATATAGATACAAAAATCCTCAACAAAATATTAGCAAACCACATTCAACAATACATTAAGAGAATCATTCACCTTGAATAAGTGGAATTTATTCCACAGATGCAAAGATGGTTCAATATCCACAAATCAATTAAGGTGATACGTCACATTAATACATTGAAGGATGAAACCCATATGATCATCTCAATAGACGCAGAGAGAGCATTTGACAAAGTACAACATCTGTTCATGATAAAAACTCTCAAACTGAGTTTAGAGGGAACAACATCAACATAATAAAGGCCATATATGACAAACCCCTAGCGAACACCATACTCAATGTTGAAAAACTGACAGCTTTTCCTCTAAGATCAAGAATAAGAAAAAGATGTCCACTCATTTTTATTCGACTTAGTACTGGAAGTCCTAGCCATAGAAATCAGACAATAAAAAGAAATAAAAGGCATCTAAATTGGTAAGGAAGAAATAAAACTGTCACTATGTGCAGATGACATACTCTGTAACGAAAACCCTGAAGCCTCCACAAAGAAACCATTAAGAGTAATAAATTAACTCAGGAAAGTTGCAGGATATGAGATTAATATACAGAAATCTGTTGCATTTCTATACAAGAATAATGAGCTGGCCAAAGGAGAAATTAAGAAAACAATTTAAGGGGCGCCTGGGTGGCTCAGTCAGTTGGGTGTCCGACTTCGGCTCAGGTCATGATCTCGCGGTCTGTGGGTTCGAGCCCCGCGTCGGGCTCTGTGCTGACAGCTCAGAGCCTGCAGCCTGTTTCAGATTCTATGTCTCCCTCTTCCTCTGACCCTCCCCTGTTCATGCTCTCTCTCTGTCTCAAAAATAAATAAATGTTAAAAAAAAAATTTAAGAAAACAACTTAAAATTGCACCAAAAATAATAAAATGCTTAGGAAGAAAACTTAACCAAGGAGGTGGAATATCTGCACTCTGAAAACTATTAAAAAACTGATGAAAGAAATTGAAGATGACATAAATAAATGGAAATATATACCATGCTCATGGATTAGAAGGATTAATATTATTAAAATGTTCATACCACCCAAAGCAAGCTGCAGGTTGAATGTAATCCCTTTCAAAATACCAGTCACAATTTCCACAGAATGAAAACAAATCATGTTAGGGGCATCTGGGTGGCTCAGTCGTTTAAGTGTCTGACTTTGGCTTAGGTCATGATCTCGCGGTTCATGAGTCTGAGCCCTGCATTGGGCTCTGTGCTGACAGCTCAGAGCCTGGAGCTTGCTTCATATTCTATGTCTCCCTCTCTCGCTCTCCCCTCCCCTGCTTGTGCTCTGTCTGTATCTCTCTCTCTTTTTCTCTCTCAAAAGTAAATAAACATTAAAAAATTTAAAAAAAATTTTAATTAAAAAAAAAATGAACAAATCATGCTAAAATTTGTATGGAACTGCCAAGGACCCTGAATAGTCAAAGCAATCTTGAGGAAGAAGAACAAAGTTGTAGGCATCACAATCCCAGATTTTAAGCTATACTACAAAGTTATGGTAATCAAAACAGTGTGATGCTGGCACAAAGAAACAAAAAGACCAAGGGAACAGATAGGGAAGCCAGAGGAATAAACCCATGCTTATACATTCCAATTGATCAAGGGAGGTGAGATTGTACAATGGTGAAAAGACCATTGGTGAAAGAGACCATAGTCTCTTTAATAAATAGCATCGGGAAAACTGGACAGCTGCACGCAAAGAATGAAACTGGACCACTTTCTCACACCACACACCAAAATAACCTCAAAATGGATGAAAGACCTTAATATGAGACTTGAAGCCATAAAACTCCTAGAAGAAAATGGGCACTTATCTCTTGGACATTGACCTTAGCAACATTTTTCTAGATCTGTCTCCTCGGGGAAGAGAAACAAAAGCAAAAACGGACTATTGGGGCTACACCAAACGAAAAGCTTTTGCACAGGGAAGCAAACAATCAACAAAACAAAAAGGCAACCTCCTGAGTGGTAGAAAACATTTGCAAATGATGTATCTGGTAAGGAGTTAATATCCAAAGTATATAAAAAATCTTAGACAACTCAACCCCCAAACCTACAAAGAATCCAATTAGAAAACAGAGGACCTGAGCAGACATTTTTTCCAAAGAAGACATCCAGATGGCCAACAGACACATGAAGAGTAGTTCAACATCACTCATCATCAGGGAAATGCAAGTCAAAGCCACAATGAGGTGTCCCCTCAAACCCGTCAGCACGGCTGATATATGCATAGTGCGCGCCACACGCATGCATGCGCGCGTGCACACAAACACACGTGCGTGCGCGCAAAATGGAATATTATTCAGCCATAAGAAAGATCAAGTTCTTTCCATCTGCAACAACATCAATGGACCCAGAGGGCACCATACTTAGGGAAAGACAAATGCTATTTGATTTCACTTATATGCAGAATTTAAAAGAGATGAAAAATCGCACAAACGGAAAAACAGGAACAGACCCATAAATACAGAGAGCAAACTGGTGGTTGCCTGAAGGGAGGAGGGGGGAGGGAGGTACAGGCTTCCAGTTAGGGAACGAATATGTCACGGGGATGCAAGGCGTGGCTTCTGATTCTGGGTCTCCCTCCCTCCCTCTTCCTCTCACGGGGAATATAGTCAATGGTGTGGTCCCGGGTGTCGTGTGGTGACAGACGGTGCCACACGTGCAGCGAGCACAGCAAGACCTAGAGAATCAGCGTGTTATACACCTGAAACTAACATAACAGAGCATGGCAATATTGCATGGCAATAAAGAATAAACAAAATTAAAAAAATTAAAAACAGAACCCACCATGACATACCTTTCTCAGGCTATGTTACTGGACCACCTCGAAAGTGGCATCGGAATTAAGAAAAATAAAAACGGATGCCAGCACATAGATTTCTGTGCCAATAGTCAGCTTATCACCCACTCCCAGTGCATCGTCAGCCTGTGGCCTCACTGGTTTTTTTGTTTTTGTTCTTGCTTTTTTTTGTTTTGCTCATTTTTGGTTTCATTTCATCTTAAAGGACCAATCTGTGTTTCTGTCTTCATGTAGCCTTCTGTTCATTGCCTTTCTGAGCATCAAACAGTCGCTGATTCTAGACAGGTACAAAGGCATGAAGGAGGCGATTGTTTTTTGGAAGCGACTACACATATGTGCTCATGTGTAAGCTCACTCCCATCTTGGGGAAAAAAAAAAAACGAGACTTTGTAAGATAAAGACAGTTCTCGAGCTTGCCTCAAACGTAAACGGCGCTCAAAAAACTAAAACTTTAATGAAAACAGCACAAATGAAGGCTGGGGGGTGGGGAGGGGTGGTGCCGGAATGGGCAACCCCAGGACCTTGAGGCTCCTGGGATTTGTGAAAGGAGATGGATTATCCACGAGTGGGGGAGAAGTGAGCACTGGGCCCCATATTTATGCCGTGACCAGACATTGGCTAGCGTCCTTGTTCATGTCATCGCACCCCACCAGGGCCTGAAAGGGTGGGTCCGTGTCCCCGTACAGTCTCTAACAGGGGACCTAAGTCCGCGCACTGCGCAGGCAGGCGCTAGGGAACTGTCTTCTGCTGACGACTTGTATTCGGTTCTGGGATAATAACACAGTACTACGAGTACAACTGGTCCTGCTACTAAGCACCATGCCTTCATCAAGCACCCAGCAGCATCACTCACTCCCTCCTCACGACCCCCCACAAAGTAGGTTCCACGACACTTCCCATTTTACAGCTCGAGAAATCAAGGCTCAGGGAGGCCCCACAGTTCGTGTGCGGGAAAGCCACCTCTGATCAGGTCTGAGGGCCTGTGGTCATCCCACAAACGGTGCAACACGGAGGGATGCTTGGCAGACTGGTCACCACCCTCTGTCCTCAGGTTGGCGCACTGGATCCTCGCAAGTACCCAGGGAGGTGCTCAGGCGATGTTACCACCCCGTTCTTACGGAAAAGAAACTGCTGGAGGGCGGACTGCTGTTAGGGGTAGGACACAGCCAGGAGGCTGACAAGTTCTGTCCCTTTCTTCTGGGCCCAGTATTTCTGCAGACTCCACCTACCCAGGGGACTCTCTGAGCCAGGGGACACAGTGGAGACGGTGACTGATGTGTGGGAGGGGAGGGGCAGGGGGTAGTGGGGGAGCAAGGGGGACAGTGGTGAAGGGCAGGAGACCAGTGGAGGCAGAGGGGGAAGAGCTGGTGAGTGCCGGACAGGGAGGGAAAGGAAATTTATCGGCAGCTATGCATTTTATTCCACAAAGTCTTCCAGCCTTGGGTCCCATATCAGTGAAATAGTTGGGACCAGATCTGAGCTTTATGTTGCAGTAAATGGAATGGTTAGGAACAAATAAATACAAGACAATTGAATCTGTCAGAGAGAGCAAAATTGTTCTGAATTGTTAGGAGATGGTTACTGTCATCCTGGGCTTTCTATTAAATAGAAATAACACGGCGAATGTTATTTTTTTTTTCCACTCAAAAATGTTTTTTTTTTCCTGCTCTCTGGGTTCTTTGTGAGGTTTTTCTAGGATTGCACATTCTACCCTATTAAGAGCTCTATAAATTCTTGTGTATTTCAGGCTAGATATGCAACGTGATTTTGTGGCCCAAGAGCGGATTTGTAATGCAACTTCATGTCTGGCTGATCTGCCATACGCATGATGGGGCGGGGGGGGGGGGATGGGGAATCTCATTTTCAGACGCTTTGGACTGAGACACATAAGAAAAATTCTCGCAAGAGCAACACTCCCCACCCCTTTTTGCTGCCCCACCCTGCCCACCTTCCCTACAGAGAGTGAGACCGTGGGCTCAGAGCTACTGTGTCCATTTGATGGTGTCCAAGCCCTCAGGTCCCAGCACCATCCATGGACACCTCGCCCCGGGACGTGTGCCAGGCCTGGTTCGCCGGCCAACCCAGTAGTCCCAGAGACGGGAATGAACCTGGGGTCTTACATTCGCGGAGCCACTTGTTGGGATCCAGCATCAGGTGCTGCTTGGTGACCTCCAGCTCCTTCATCAGCCACTCATACTTGGCTCGGACCTCGGCGATTCTCTGCTGGCGATGCTCCAGAATTTTCAGCTTTGCGTTGAAGCACGTGACCTCCTACAAGGTAGACGAGAAGGCGTGGGGGTGCGGGGAGAGGAGAGCCTCCCCCACCCAGCTCGGACCCACGCAGCCTCTTCTAGATGGGAACGCCATGTGCACAGCGGGGACGAGGGAGCTGGCCCCTCACTGGGGAGCCGGGAGGGCCCTGGGCCAGCCCAGCCACGCTTCTGCCTCGCCGGAGTTGGATCGGACAGCCACAGGGCAGGACTGCCGCAGCCCTTTCTTAAATTTAGGTGGCTGGCGTTCCCAGCTGGAGCCAGAAAAGCCCCCAGGACTGGCAGTTCCCCCAGCGCTGGAGCCCTTTCAACACTCGGGGTGGAGAAGTGAGGAGCTCTCCAGGGGGCTGGCTGGGGGGCTGCCCCCGTGTGGGGACCAGGAGGCTCACCTTGCCATTGCCCCCTCGTCGCCGCTGTAGTCGTTCCACGTCATCGATTTCGTAGACTTTAATCTCAAAAGGTTCCCCGAGGCCCCTCTGGGTGCTGCGCAAGGGGCCGTCCACCCAGCGGACCCCGGTGCTGCTGGCGGGTTTTCTTACGGGGGAAGGGGTGTCCAGGGACAGCGCAGGGATGAGCCTCCGTCTCTGAGAACCTAAGTACGGAATTAAACCCAAAGGGAATCTTTTTGAATTTCAATCTTTTACATCTTGATACGCATCTTTTGGTGGGGGACCCTGACGGGCATCCCAGGATGTGCGGCAGGTGAATGCGAAACACGCCAAGGCCCAGCCACGCACCTTGACAATTAATCCCTTAAACTTGCACCTAGGCTTCACCTCCAAGAGCTCACGAATTCCCTGCCTGACCTTTAGAGCTGCCCCTGGTCTCCGCCCACGAAACACACACACACACACACGCGCGCGCGCGCGCGCGCATGCACACCAGAACACGCGCACACACAAAAACACGTGGTCTAGAACCATGAGCCATATGCTCAGCATGAATGTGTGTCACAGTGAAATTAAAGAGATATTTGTGTTAGGGAAAAGGGGTCCCAGTGTTTGGTAATGTGGTCATAGGAGTTCTAGGAAACACTGCTTATTTGCTCATAACAACAACACTGTACTAAGCACCGATTATACGTCAGACCCTATTCAACACGCATTGTGATGGACGGCTAGCTGTCCCCGAGACCTATTCTCTTCTTCCTCCAGGAAAGAGACTGGGTCGTAGCAGTGCACACAACCCCCAGGAAGGGACCACACCCTGGGTACATGCACCTTAAGCTCCTCCCGATAGGGTATCCACAGAAGTGTTACGGGCAACTGCTAGGAAGTGTCCTTAAAGGTGGGGGGGGTCTGGCCTCCTCCTCTTCCTTTCTCCTTTGTCCTGGGTGAAATATGGGCCCAGTGGCTGCATCATGAGGTGAAGATCATAAATGACACAAAAAGAAGACAGAAGGAGCCTGGATTCCTGGTACCCTAGAGACTTTTACGTGATTGTCTACACAGATTTGTCTTCTTCAAAGACTTAATTCTTGGAGTGCCTGGGTGGCTCAGTTGGTTAAGCATCTGACTTTAGCTCAGGTCACGATCTCACGGTTCATGAGTTCGAGCCCCGTGTCAGGCTCTTTGCTGACAGCTCGGAGCCTGGAGCCTGCTTCAGATTCTGTGTCTCCCTCTCTCTGCCCCTCCCCCACTCGCACTCTGTCTCTCTCTGTCTCTCTCTGTCTCTCAAAAATGAATAAACATTAAAACAAGTTAAAGACTTAATTCTTCCAGGGCATGTTGAGGTTCACAGCCACCTTGAGAGGAAGGGACAAGATGGTACCTGAGGACCCAGTGAGAAGCACAGGGGGAACACAGTGAATCAGGCCTCTCTTGGCCCTGGTGAGGAGTAACAAGTCGTGGATATTGGTGCAGCAGCTCAGCAAACTGAACCCGGCATCCCATCGGTCGGTTAAGTTTACCAAGCACCCAGAGAAGGGCAGGCATGGTGCTCGGTGCTTAGCGTGGCAAAGGATATAGAAGACAAGCTTGGTGTTTAAAGCACTGGTCACCAGCGGGGTGACATAGAAAAAAACTCTGAGCTCACTTGGAGGACCATCTGCCAGCCAGCCCACCAGCCAGTGAATCAATCAGGGGTGTCCGAATGACTCATGGGAGCCTGCACCATGCAGTGCTGCGCACCCAGCGGGCTGAGCCAGATGCGGAACTGGCCTTGGGCACCCAGTGGGCTGAGCCAGGTGGGGAACTGGCCTTGCGGGAGCTCACGTCCAGGCAGGTCAAGCCCTACGTGCATCCCGGAACAGGCAGGCTCCCTGGGTTGGCCCTCCCTCACTCCCTCCCCGGCTTTCTATGGTGGGCCTGCTACAGTGGGAAGGGACTTCATTCAGACCAAGGTGCTGATCTGATTCTCAGCTTTCCCCAGCCAGCTTGGGAGCAGGAAAGTGACAGGAGGAAGCTCAGGGGGTAACCCAGCAGGCGTGGGGTGAAAGGTCTGGGACATGAAGAAGTGGCCAAGAGTCTGGGAAGAATTCACATAACACCTGAGGAGTGATGCCAGAGGGCTGTTGGGGCTCCGGTGGGGCCTTCCCTGATTCATGTCCTTTTAGCCACTGAGCGCACCCCAGCCAGGGTAGACACATGCTCCCCATCCAGGCTGGCCGTCACCACTCTAATTCACGGCTAACGGCCGTGTTGCTGACCACATCCGGCTGGCAGTGCCCTGTGGATGGACTGATGAAAATCCATCAGTAAAAGCAAACACGGCTTCTCTCTTGGTCAAGAACCCAGAACGACTACCCCATGGCCAACTACAACTTTGCCAGGCATTGAAGGCATAACTTGGTCTGTGCTTACATTTTCTGTGGTCGTCACATCCATCAAGAACGTCCCCTCGTTGAGTTCATCTCACCCTGTTGCCCAAGACCCCAAGTCTCCTACTTTCTGGCAGGACCCACGTGCCCTGAGGCCGGGTCCTCAGAGTGTCACAGTCTGGCCAATTCTACGCACCTTCCACCAACACGGATCTCCAGGAAGGGGACCGATAAGCTTAAGGACGTTCGCTGGTTTCTCGTGTTATGTGCACAACGGAGCACCGAGAGCTCAAGGTTATCCTCCTCATCCTGTATTTCTAGTTCATTTTTCAACCAAAGCACTAAAGTTTTCCAAACTCAAAAGCAATCTCCGATAAAAGATAACCGGTCTCCTCCGCAGTTTCAAACACCTCTAGTAATTATACAATCCAGCTACCCAGCTAGGAGTTTCCTTTGAGAAGGTTTACGGCTTCTCTCAAGGAAGGTGCTTTTGATTTATGCTGATCATGTCTGACAGCCAACATTTCTCTTAATAATAACCATAAATAAGCAAGACAAGGTCCCCTAACGGTGAGGAGCACGTCTCCACTGCCACCTCCATTGTCAAGGTCACCTAACCTGTGAGCGGCATTTTTTGCATTTTTTGGTGTGGCTGTGGATCTCCACTGCCACATTCATTATGAAGGTCACAGAGGTCCGGTGCTCCCGGCGTTCAGGCACCTAGCCTGGTGCTTCGATCCTACACCCTGTCCTCCAACAGCCTAACCTGACAGGAGACGCTCAGAGGATGACGTTTGTAAAAGCAGGCGGCACCCCGCCAGGACAGGTGCTGAGCCTGCTGGCCACTCTCCAGGCAGCCGTTTTACAGAGCTCTTTACCCCAGCGCGACAGCCACACCGAAAGATGCAAATCTTGGGGGAGAAAAAGATGCTCAAAGAACAAAAGGGACTGGCAGACGGAAGGCTCTAGAGGAGGGTGCGGGAAAGCATTCTAACGGGCAAACACATGTGAGCGCACAGGCTGCGTCACAACGGTGTGGACCCTGAAGAATGAAGTCTGGGTAGATTGTAGCAACAAGGTTTGTCAACCAAGTACGGGGAAGGCCAGCAGATCTTCTCCTCCCTCCACCCCCCTGCAAACAGTCTGGCTCGGATGAACTTTCTTTCTATTTTTAGTGACTAACATCAATATGTTTTCACGCTCACGGCCCTGAAAAGAGGACACAGCAGCTGTCATGTTATTACTGAGTGGCTTTTCTTTCTGCACTTGTCTCGCACGGGCACCGCTCCCAGGTCCCTGATGAGGCGCAGAGTGCCGAGGGCCTGGGGTGGGGCATCGCCAAAGTGGGTCTGAGCCTGAAGCACACGCCGCCCGGGAAATAAAGATGGCGGACAGCCGTGAGTCCTGGACGTGTTCACAGCACAATACGCTCACACACTGCGGTCTGTGAGGGGGTGGGCAGGTGGGGAGAGCGACACCACAGCATCTAGAACTATGAGGTTGATTTCTTCGATTTGAGGCAGACAGATGGTTTATGATGTGCCTTACATTTGGGTTGGAACATTCTAGAGCTTGTGCTTGCCTATGTTGGGAGGAGGGAAAAAGCAACCCCCCACCCCCCATGGTTGAGAGAAAAAGCTGTTGCCGGAGCAGCTGCAGGACAGAGGAGACCCCACTTGGAGGACTCCCCCCATATTTTAATTCCAAACCTGCTGGTGCCACCAATATTCTGTGGCACAACAGCTTCTGAGGGCTCCCAGGGAGCCTGGGGTCCCACAGGAGGGCTCAGTACAGCAAAGGACCGGCTAGGAGGGCAGGACCAAGCCACTCTCACTTTAACTGAGGCACAGAGTTGCACGCGGGGCTCTTTACGAGGTGGCCTCGTTAAAAGCGCGTTCTTATGCTAGAGAACAAGTAGAGGTAACTTCTGTGGAAGCCACTGAAGAGCGGAGCTCAATCACAGAGAATTCTGAAGTAGCTCAAGTCGTCCTCAGTTCCTTCTGTCTCTCCGGCCCAGTCTCTCCTGGCTGACCTTTCACCTCACCTACCCCATGGCTACGAGGGCCACCCTCTCTGACCTGGGTCCTCTTCTTCTCATCCATCATAACGTCCTGTCACATGTCACTCCAAACTCCAATTAACAAGTCAGGGGGTTTTACCACCAGTTATATCCTTTGCACTATTTACTTGCTTTTGATGGGAGATTCCTGGAGATGCAAAGACTTGCTCAGAAAGCATGCATTTGGGGCACCAGGGTGCTTGGGTGTGCCGTGCTGGTGCAGTGTGTGTGTGTGTGTGTGTGTGTGTGTGTTGTGCAGGTGTACTGTGCGTGTGTTCAGGCCCCATGGTGGCTGTATACACACAACTGTCCACTAGTGTGTCTGGGGGCAGGGGTGGGGGGGACAGAGGAAGGACCTCCCCATCGCAGGGCCAAGGAGATCAGTGCGGTTCATCCTGCTTCCGGGAGCGGCTGCCAGGGTCTCAGGGCCACCAGCCCCAAGTTTTGGTGTCTGTAGCTGCCAGGCCATGAGGCTGGTGGCTCTGACCTGACCCCTCCGAAAGCCCTGAGCGGCGGCACCGTCGCTCCCACAGCAGACAAGCCTGGGTCTCGGGGACTCCGGAGGGCCGCGCAAGCAGGTGCCCACGGGCTGGATGCCCCCGGCGCGCCAACGTCTGGCAGTGGGTTCCCACAGCGACACCTAACGCGGCCGTGGCCCCTTGGAGGCCTGAGGGCGCAGGCGGTCAGTGGGGGCGGGGGGAGGCAGGAAGGGGGGCCCTCAATATCCCGGTCTGCAGCCGCCAGTGCCTACCTGAGTTGGAGCGCTTCTTCGGGGCCTTGAGGCTGCGGCAGCGGCCGCCCACGGAGCTGCTGTTGTCATTTCAGTGGAGTCGTCTTGCCGGAGGACGGCTGTCGGGTGGTTCACATTAACCTCCTTCTCCTTGGCGACGCAGCCTCTAAATATGCTGCTGCCGCCGCTGTGGTAGAACAGGGCCGTCTTGCTCTGATGAGCGGGCGTGACAGCTCGCCCATCAGTCAGCACGCTGCTGTTATTAAGCTACCGTGTCGCCAGTACTGCTGCTGCAGTCGGCAGCATGGCGCGGGCGTCACTCCATAGGCTGCTATGAAGGGCTGGGCCGGGCAAGCTTCTGTCAGTGACGGCCTTGTAGCGCTTCCGCCAGCCGCCCCTGCAGCATAGCTTCGGAGATCATGATTAATGGCCTTGTGGCGGCTGCCGGCGGAGACGGCGCCCGGCCTGCTGACTGGACTCGTGGACCAGGATCTGGGCTTGGCGCTGGTCGCCAGCCCGGACTCCTGACCCACCGCCTCTGTGAGGGACTTGGTGGAGAAGCTGAGTGCCTGGTGGCGTCTTAGTGATTAATGAGCTCTTGGCATAGGGCTGGCCAGCAGGAGCTTGCTCACCGCCGAGATCTTGCATTGTGCCAAGCCGGCCTTGTGACGCCGAAGCGCCATCTGGCTGGCAATGGCGGCGGCGGCGCGAGCAGCGGGCCCAGGGCGGTGGGCGAGGCCCCGGCGCCCCCGCGGCCCGGGCTCCTCCCCGCGCGGGGCATCGTGCTGTCCTTGCCCGCGTGCGCCCGCCAGCTCCCCGAGCACAGGCTCTCGGCCCTCTCCAGCGACAGGCACTCGTAGTGGCTGACGGTGGCCCTGCCGAGGGAGTTGGTCCTGCTGGCCAGCTGCTCCAGCTTGGCGCTGAACAGCCGGCTGCTGCTGCTGGCCTCCTTGGCCTGGCCGCCGGCCTCATCCGGGAACGGGGCCAGGAGGGGCGCCGGGGGGTGCGACGGGCTGCTGGTGCCGCTGCTGCAGGCGCTGTGCTGGGGGCTGGCCCGGTTCTTCTGGTCCAGGCTGGACTTGCGGACCGGCGGCAGAGGGGGCGTCCCTTTGGGCCGGGCCAGCATACAGTGCTTGGGCGACGCCGCCTTCCTCTCCAGGGCCGCCTTGCAGGGTGACGCGCCCTGGGCGCTGCCCAGCCCGTTGGTCTCCGCGGCGCAGTGGTAGAACGGACTGCCCGGCTCCTCCTGCCGGCTGGCCTTCTGGAAAGCCCTGGGAAGGCTGCTGGACTTCAGGCCTCTGTTGGGGTGCACGGGGCTCTGGGCGGCCACACCGGGCAGGGCCATCTCACAGCCATCCGCAACCCTCCTGAGGTTGTCGCTCCCGGGGGAAGCGGACACCTCACCGCTGCTGCTGCTCAGCCTGTCCCCAGGGCTGGCCTTCCTGTCCTGCTCTGCTCTGGCCTCAGGCTTTGCGGGGGGGCCTGTGGCGGCCTCACGCCCGGCCCCTTCTTCACCGGGATAGGCGCTCTCTTTCTTTACCTCCTCTTCCCGTTTTAGCCAAGGGTCCTCAAATCTCATCTCTATCTTTGCACCGGTTTCCCGGCTGTCCTGGGGCTGGGCTGCTCTGGGCGCTGAGCTCACCCCGGGGGCGATGGACGCCTCGGGCCCTTGGACGGGCCGGGGGCTCACGGCAATGCAGGGGTAGACTGTGATGTTGGTCTTCATGGGGATGTACCCTTCGCAGCTGCTCAGGTCTGCTGTGTTGGAGATGGTGACCATGGCCTTGCCCAGCGTGGATATCTTGCAGCCCTGGATGGGGGTCGCCTTGTCGAAAGAGTCCTCCCCCACGTCAGACAGGATGAGCAAACCGTCGGGGCCCGCCTCGGGCTTCTCCCGGCACACCACGGGGCTGCTCTGGATGCCGCCGCCCAGCTCCGAGGCCGGAGGATCGGCCATGGCCTCCCCGTGCCCGAAGCACGTCTGGGCGATGAAACTGTGGCAGGACTGCTCGCCATCGCTGCCGGCGCTCACCTCGCTCAGCCAGGAGCTGATGGAGGAACGTTGGCTCCCGGCCTCGCGGGCCTTCTCGTCCAGGGTCAGCTTTGGGAGGGGCAGGAACTGCGTGATGCTGACCTCGGACACGGGGGCCACGCTGGAGTAGCACTCGAGATCCTCGCTGATGCTGCCGATGATGCTGACGGGCCGGGAGCCCGAGGCCAGGGCCTGCACGGAGCAGTCGCTGTTGAAGCTGATGATGCTGGTGGGGCGGCCGCCGTCCAGGACGCCGCTGATGGTCAGCTCCTCCACCAGCGTGAACACCAGCTCGTCCTCGCCGTTCAGCTCCAGGGGCTGCTGCACCGTCACCGTCGTGGTGCTCAGGACCTCCTTCTTGGGGTCTGGAGAGGTGGCCCCCTGGTGCTCGTCATCGACCGGGCTTTCGGGGAACCCTTGGCTCCCAGCGGACATGGACTTCTTCAGAACCTGGGGGCTCATTCCAACTGGGGGGGTTCGCACCTCAGGCTGCAGCAGGGACTCGCTGGATGCCGTGCAGGCGTCCTTGCTCAAGGGAGGCAGGGGGGCAGGAGAGGGCAGGACACCCTTCTGGGTGTAGACTTTGCACCTCTGGGAGGGAGAGCTGGCCGGCTTGTACTCGGAGGTCTTGGACAGGCTGGCGATGCCCAGGCGCGGGGACCCCATCGGCCTGGGCTTGCCTTCCACGAAGCCACAGGAGTTCAGGCTTTCTCGGCTGCTCTGGAGGCTGGGGCTCTGCGTGAGCTGGGAAGCAGCGTGCTGGCCGCCGCCGCTGCCCGGGATGCTCCTGGGCGAGGCAGGGCTGGGGCTGCCGGGCAGAGCCGGGGTGGGGCCGGGCGAGTGATTCCTCTGCATCTTGGAGGCGGGAGGGTCGGTGCCTTCTCTGTCAGTCAGCTGCCCGTCGGACCCGGCCTCTTCCTTCTCAGACTCACAGAGTGGGTTGGCCCCAGCCGCCTGGCTTAACAGGGGACCTTTGCCCGCTTGCTGGGCCCCAAACTGGACCGGCAGCTCTTCGAAAGGAAACTGACTGGGCTCCTCGCTGCCGTCGATACAGTCCAGCCTCTCCTGCAGCTCGGCAAACGTGTTGCACTTCAGACAGTCCCTTTCCGACTTGCCGGCCGCAGCCCCTCCGGCCTCCGGGGGCCGGCCGTCGCCCCGTGCCTTCTGCAGGGCGGGCACGATGGGGACAAAGTCTGGGGGGCCCTCGTTGTCGGTGAGCTCTTTGTCGGAGAGGGCCGTGCCGTTGGGCCCGATGTAGATGACCGTGTCGCAGGACTGCTCGCTGCTCGAGGAGTAGTCGGGGTCGCTGGACAGCGGGGGGATGGGGAAGTCCGGGTCCCCCGCGGCCCTGGCGTGGAAGGGTCTCAGCTGGGTGGGCCTTCGCATCCTGCCTTCCTCGCAGGAGCTCTCCCCACCGGACGAGCTTGACGTGTACTGAAGATGAGAGCGGGGAGGTTAGCGGGGGCGGGCCTCCCGGCGAGCCCAGAGCGACTCTGAACAGGCCCCCCAGGCCACCCCGGTTCCCCTCCCTGCGTCAGGCTGTTCCTCGTGGTGTGTCAGGCCGGCATGCCCCAGCTTGCCACCACACCGTGGCCTCTAGTGAGAACGGCCCATGCGGCACGCTGGGGAACAGAGCCTGCTCAGGACAGGTGACCAGCCCGGGCCCCGGGTGACCTCCTGAGGGCAGACAGGTCACTACCGTGGCATACCCCAGCCGTCTGTGGTATCCTGCGTCACACAGGTTGTCAAGGCCCATTTTTGACCCCCCTCCCCCACTCCCCGCCATACACAGAAAGACACAAAAAGGAAAAAAGCTTCCCGCTTCACCAGCTGGCCTGGTGACCACAGTTGTGATGGCTTTCTGCCACATTCTGGTCATGCCACCAGGGTCCTGGCTTTGCCTCTGCCCGAGAAAGCAAGGCTGGTAGTTTCTGCCAGGCTCCTCGCATCCACAAGAAACCACTGTATTCACGTGGCAAAGCCCAGGAGCCCGTAAATGATTCCTGGAAATGCGGGAGAAATAGCACCACGTGAGCAAAGCACTAATCCAAAGATGGGCTCAGCCAGTCGCAGGACAGGGTCTCTATCTACGTGGGACCAGGGCAGGGAGGGAGACACGGAGTGTTTCCCGTCCTACCCAGATGCCTGACGTGGGCCTAGTGCTCCCGGTTAGGGGTCCAGGCTGGATGACCAGCAGCTGGCGGGGCTAGGGGACACGGACTTCATCCTCCTCCCCCCCCCACCCGACTATCGTCAGCATCGCCTGCCCCCCCCCACCCCCGCCCCCGCGCTCGGGGATCAGGAATACCGGCTCGGCTCCAGGGTAGGGCTCCCAAAGCATCTACACCCACTGCACCCCCTGGGAGCTCCCTACCTTCGTCTTCTTTTTCTTCATCCTCAAGACTCTCGAGGCGATCTGGATGGTGGACAGGGTCTCTGCGTAGTTGCCGGCGGCCGCCGAGATGTGCGCGATCATGGTGGTGCGACAGTTCACGTTCCCCAGGGACTCTCGCAGCAGCATGGTGAGTTTGCTCTCTCTGCCAAACAAAGTGAATTAAGGCTGCATTAGTGGGTCATGCTTCACGTTGGCTGTCAGGGTAGGACCGCGGGCCTACACATGGCTTTTTTGTTGTGGGCAGCAGGGTTTTTTTTTTCCCCCCATTTTTAAAAAAAGGGCGTACTAATTAACATCATTTTCTAGCACACCGCTGTTTGTAGCGGGCAGCCGAGCAAGGGCTTCTAACCCCAAGGATGGAATCCACGTGACACACCTCCCTTGGTACTCGTGTCCTGCTCCTGGGTAAGCCCGTGCGTCTGTGTGTGCCCACCGGGCGCTGTGGACGACGGGACCTGGGGATAGGAACTGGAGGAAGGGAGAAGACGGCTCTGTGACTGATTCGGCAGGCTGTGTGCACACACAGCCCTTCTTTTCAAGTGTCTGTGCGCGAGGGGTCCCTGCAAGGCAAAGTGGTTTGCCAGCCACGAACCTGCGTGTTAGATCTGTGTGTCTGCAATGTACCCAGTTTGTTTGCGAGAGTGGCAAGCACTTTATCACCATCTGTCTCTTCCTCTCGTGCCTGCACGTGGCGGCAATGCAGGAGAAGGTGTCTGTGTTCCCGATTACGAGTGGAGAAACAGAGACACGGGCCCGAGCACTCAATCCGTCAGCCACAGAACGCAGACCTTTCTAGAAAGGCCTCCTCTGGGGACTCCGCAGGTGCCGTGTGGGGCCAGGGCCCTGAGTGGTGATAATGAGGCTCAGGACTTTACAGACGGTGGTTGCAGGCTCTTCCAAAACTGACCTGGAGCGATGGTGCATGTGTTTCCATTCCTGCACGTGTCCCAACAGTCTCCCTGCCTCGCTCTTAAAAGGCTTCTGCTTACGTCATCATCAGCCCTCTCCTCTCAACTGCTGCCAGATGTCATTTCACCTCTGGAAGCTTCCCTGATCCCGAAGGCAGAGGCAGCCTCTGCGTCTCCTGTGCCCTGTGTGCATAGCTGTGCGTTGTGTTCAGAATGCCAGGTTCCGGGGGCTCGTCCTCACGTCTGTGTCCCCACCAGGCTGTCAGCCGGCCACCCCCGCAGAGCTCCCTGGAGAGGGACCGTCCAGCTCGGCAGACCCGGTGTGAGAGGCAGGCTGCTGTCTGCAGAGATCAGGCCTTGGAAACGGGGAACCCCTTTCACACGTGACCTGCATGGGGCCTTCGGGGAGGAAGACTGCGGGGTGAGAGCCAGAGTTTGCCTTTTCCATCTGGAACCAATTAAGGTGTCAGTTCGGGACGCCGGGCTCACTCTGGCTCAGTTCCAGGGCAATAAAAAAAAAAAACGCATCAGGGTTTTCCTTCAGCCAAACTCGTCAGTGATGAAAGTCGTGGAAGGAGAGTGTTGCGGACTGAACGCAAGCAAGCTAACCCCCAAAGTGATGCCATCAGGAGGGGGGGGGGCCTTCGGGAGGTGACCAGTCACAAGGGCAGTGCTGTCATCGACGAGAACAGCGCTCTTATAAGGGAGACTTCCGGGGGAGTTCGCTCGCTCCTTCCGCCATCGGAGGCTGTCACCAGAAGGCAGCCGTCTATGAACCAGGAAGCTGCCTCACCGAACACCAGACCTGCTAACACCTTGTTGAACCTCCAGCCTTCAAAGCTCTGAGACATACATGTCTGCTGTTTGAGGCCCTCCGTCTGTGGTTATTTTTTCAGCGCGGCCTCAACGGACTGAGACAGGGAAGGGGGTGTGCAGAAGGATCAAGGCCTCGCTGCAAACACTCATCTGCCTTCAAAATGTGTCCAGCAGGCAGGTCACGGATGCCACCAGAGCCGACAGCCAGACGGGCGGTCGGGTCCCACTCCCGGCACACACTCTTCGCGGAGAGCCTGCACCTGGGTTTTGTCTTCACTGTGTCTTCGAGTGGAAGACAGATCCCATCAGTGGGAAGTCGTGACCGCTGCAGTCAATTCTTACTGTCCGAGGTGGTTGTGGTCTATTAAGTCTCTGTGAACCCTGAAGCAGTGAGTCCAGATGGGAACGGTTCCTCGGGGCCACTGGTCAGTTTCCCGTCAATGAATCGATCAATACATAACCTTGTTTCACGTGTTTCTGTTTAGAACACCTGATTTAATACACATTCCTTACAAATGATGAACTACGCGCACTATTTCTTTAGAACAAAACACTAGCTGAAGAGGGTTTGTTTTTCTGACCCTAGGTAATAAGAACATAAATTTCTTTGGCTTTTTCAGCCTCACAATATTGTCCACTATGCTTTTTTTTTTTTTTTTTTTTTTTTTTTTTTTGAAATTTTTAAATTATTTATTTTTCATGTTTTTATTTTTGAGGGAGAGAGAGAGGCAGAGACAGAGCATGAGCAGGGGAGGGGCAGAGAGAGAGGGAGACACAGACTCTGAAGCAGGCTCCAGGCTCTGAGCTGTCAGCACAGAGCCCAACACAGGGCTCGAACCCACTAGCGGTGAGATCATGACCTGAGCCGAAGTCAGACGCTCAACCAAGGGAGTCACCCAGGCACCCTGATGTTTTTTTGTTTTTGTTTTTAATTTGATCATTCATCTTATGAATCCATAAAGAGAGCCTTTTATCTGTAGTTTCATCATGCATTTTAGATGTTACTTAACTCTTTCTGAAGCAGCCTGACGCACAGGTCAGTGAATTCCCTCTTCCTCTTTCTGGATGTACCATATTGTTGACTCGTTAACACTGAATTCATGCCAAACGGCACTACAACTCATGCCTGAACGAGGCTTCTCGAAGATACATATTTTCTCCGTAAGGCACGTCACTGCCTTCTCACACCAACGAACACCGGGCCACCCCCACAGCACTGTGCTTGGGGGCCTTTTCGGCAGTGAAACCACCAACAAAAAGCACACAAATACAAACAACGTGGCACCAAACAGGACTCTGAAGAGGAGCCTCGTTTACAAGAAGAGAGGCGAGACGAGGAGGCATAGGGCTGGCTTGTCCCATCTCAGCTGGGGACGGCACATCAAGCCACCCCACGTTTGGGCCGCTGTGCACGTCTGCAAACGACAGCAAAGGCGCCACTCGAGCAGAGTTTGAACGTGATTCGTAAACACGGAACCTGCGGCTGATGAGGGTCACGTGTCCCACAAAGTCCCCTGGTGTGAATGCCTGCTAACCGTCGTGCTCTGCTGAGGGCACGCTCCCTCCTGCGTGTGACCGCGTGTCCGTCCTCAGGAAGAGGGGCCAGGAGGAGCAGGCAGAACACGGTTACGTCGCACTGTCTGCCCTGTGCATTTCCACCCGGCTCCCCCTTCACTAGTCAATCGTAGGATGATTTTTTTTTCCCCAAGTCCACACTGTCGGAAGAAGCCGGGGCACGTTGCTTGGCAACCGGCGTTTTAGCTCTCCTCGAGGAAAGCCAGTAAAACTGCTGACGAGACTCTTTCGCACGGGCCTCTCTAGACTCTAAAACATAGCCTTATGGGAATGAAAAATGGTGGCTATAAAGCTTGGGTTCTCTTCTGCCTCGTGATGATCTTTTAACTTGGAACAAAGACAGTTAAGTTGGGGAGGGAAGGTGAAAGAAGGGGCAGGGTACTAAAGGCTGAAAACTGCGGATTTAACTTGGTGGCTGGGGCAGGAAAATAAAAAGATTCAAAAGAGTTTCCAGGGCAAGAGTCAGCACGGACTCAGTCTGCGTCTCTGTGTTACGGCTGAGGCAGGAGGAAGGGAAACGCACAGGTGCAGGGCCAGTGGCCCCCAAGGCCCAGCTCCAGGCTGCATGGGGGACTTAGGGGCCATGTGGGAGGGGTCCTTGCTGTGCAGGATGGCGTGGGTGGGGGGCAGGACCCGACTGCGGTCTGGGGAAGGCCTGGGCCAGTCTTCCAAGCCCCCATGTGCCCGGCACACATATTCACCTCCTTTCCGCCCCACCCTGCATACATCTTTTATTTTATTTTCTATTTCTTTTCAATGGTTATTTATTTTTGAGAGAGAGACAGAGACAGAGCATGAGCGGGGGGAGGGGCAGAGAGAGAGGGAGACAGAATCCGAAGCAGGCTCCAGGCTCTGAGCTGTCAGCACAGAGCCCGAAATGGGGCCCAATCCCATGCACTGTGAGATCATGAAGTCGGAGGCTTAACTGACTGGACCACCCAGGCGTCCCTGCACACACCTTTTAAAATGGGTTTTGCGGGGCGCCTGGGGGGCTCAGTCGGTTAAGCGGCCGACTTCGGCTCAGGTCATGATCTCGCGGTCCGTGAGTTCGAGCCCCGCGTCGGGCTCTGTGCCGACAGCTCAGAGCCTGGAGCCTGTTTCGGATTCTGTGTCTCCCTCTCTCTGACCCTCCCCCGTTCATGCTCTGTCTCTCTCTCTGTCTCAAAAATAAATAAACGTTAAAAAAAAAAGTTAAAACCAAAATAAAATGGGTTTTGGAACAATGTCTTCCTTTAAAAAATAAACCGACCTTTTATTAAGACAAAAGAATGGGAGAGTGAACAAATGGTAATGGTAATAATTCAAAAAAAGCACGATGAGCAGGTGGTCCTCTAGGGCAGGGCCTGCAGGCCAAACCCAGCCCACCACCTGTTTTTGTAAATAAAGTTTTATCGGAACACAGCCACACCTGTTTGCTAACATATTGCCTCTCGCTGTTCTCGGGCTGCAACAGCACAGTCGAGTAGTGGTGATGGAGCCCAAGTGGCCCATCAAGCCACAAATGTTTACTCTCTGCCCCTTTACGGAAAAATGGGTGTTATTTTTGACCTGTGTTCTAGAGTAACAACATAACGTGGTCTCATCCCAGACACGGCACCAAAGAGTCAGCAAGCTGAGCGTGAAGGTGGGTCGTGAGTTCCTTACTATTCAACGATCTCTTCCTGAGTGGACATTCTGCGTTGTCTCTCTTTTAGTTGAGATGTTTCGCAAGGGGAGAGCGGAAGTCAGCATAATGGAAGCCGGCGAGGGACAAATCCCGAGCTATAGGCTCACTCGAGCACCGGGACACAGCTATGGGCAACTGCCCGGATCACCTCCCGTTTCATCCAGAAGCAGAGCCCGT